AAAACTAATTATTAACTTGCCTAACAAATGCAAATTCTACTTCTGTAACAATGTAAATTACGTATTTAACAAGAGATATTCAGGTGACAATGGGGCACACTATTGCACCCCAAAAAGGACCAGTTAATAATTGGATGGGCTTTAGTCAAAGTCAGACCAATTTTGTTATTTATAATTGAATGACAGATTTGAAATTTATGCATTTTTACTGGGGGGGATGTAATGGATAATTATATTTCTAAGACAAAATCTGTTTCTTCTTCCTCTTCATGGCTTTAAATATTTTATTGGTAAAGTATAACAACTAGAAGATGTGACAAAGTGAAACTGAAAATATAACATTGCTAATGTAATAATATACAAAAGAGTAATTAAACTAAATATACATCCATAAAGTTGTTGTTGTTAATTGCGAAGTCGTGTCCGACCCATCGCGACCCCTTGGACAACATTCCTCCAGGTCTTCCTGTCCTCTACCATCTTCTGGAGTCCATTTAAATTCACACCTACTGCTTCAGTGACTCCATCCAGCCATCTCATTCTCTGTCGTCCCCTTCTTCTATTGCCCTCAATCTTTCCCAGCCTTAGGCTCTTCTCCAGTGAATCCTTCCTTCTCATTAGGTGGCCAAAGTACTTGAGTTTCAACTTCAGGATCTGGCCTTCTAAAGAGCAGTCGGGGTTGATCTCTTCTAGGACTGACCGGTTTGAACGCCTTGCAATCCAAGGGACTCGCAGGAGTCTTCTCCAGCACCATAGTTCAAAGGCTTCAATTCTTTGGCGCTCAGCCTTTCTTATGGTCCAACTTTCACAGCCATACATTGCAACTGGGAAAACCATGGCCTGGACTATACGCACTTTTGTTGGTAGGGTGATGTCTCTGCTTTTTAGAATGCTGTCTAGATTTGCCATAGCTTTCCTCCCAGGAGCAAGCGTCTTTTAATTTCTTGGCTGCAGTCCCCATCTGAGGTGATCTTGGAGCCCAGAAAAATAAAATCTGTCACTACCTCCATTTCTTCCCCATCTATTTGCCAGGAATTGAGAGGGCCGGATGCCATGATTTTGGTTTTATCCATAAAGTAGTAGCATAGAATTAGCTCAACCCTTTAACGCAGGGGTGTCAAACTCGCCACATCATGTGAAGTGTCGCAACATATAGCAACTTTTCCCCTTGCTGGAGCTGTAATGGGTGTGGCTTCTGCGTGACACATTTGGCCGAGGGCCAGCAGTTTAACACCCCTGCTTTAACGTATCATTAAATCTAGCTATATAGATCGTGTATTGCTCCATCTTCTCATTTTTCATAGTGTACTATTTCAGTACAATGATATTTATATAATAGGTATTTAACATTCTGCTATTTAGATGCCTTAATGAATATAGATAAGTGAATATTCTATCAATATTAGTTACAGTTTCAGATATTAATGTTACAAGCATTATTATTTTTGTTGCTGTTTAATTTGGCCCTCTGCAATTATCTTCCAAGATATTCTGTGTTCTCTTTATTATATAACAAAAATGTCTGGTAATATTAAGAAAGTGATACTCATCCACTGTGTTTAATTACAAAGCTGTTTGCTATTTTTAAAAACAAATTACAGAAGAGTGAAGAAAGGTGATTTTGATGAATCCTTCCTCCTTTTGTAGCTCAGAATATTAATTCAAAATTGTTGTGAACAGGAATTAGCATAAATTTGCCTTTGCTGAATATCAGTTCTTTCTTTGTGAAATAACAACATTGGGTCTAGTTCAGAGGAGAAGTTGGAAAGGAATAAAACTACCTTTTTATAACAGAGACAGTTATATAGATTTCCAGTCTTTGTGAAATTCTGATCTTTTGATTTGTTTGGGTTCCCTAAGGATTCACAATGCACTTAAAGGAATTCCAGATGACCGTGATGGGCTATTCGATACCATTCAGCGATCCAAGAACCATTATCAAAAAAGGGCTTACCAGTGTATAAAGTGTATGGTGGCTCTCTTCAGCAACTGTCCTGTGGCGTATCAAATTTTACAGGTAATTTGTCAACGCTGCTAACATTGGATGTTCTTGCTTTGACAATATATGAAGATGCAGCCAATTTCCCCTTAACTTGTGAGTTACTTTTAGAGTTAGAATTAGATGATACTGGGGGGGGGGGGAAGAATGCCAATGAGAATTAGTTAGACATAACAACATCGAAGTAGAGTGTTTTTCAAGGTTGTTTGAAATAAGAGATGATAAGAAATGGGTTGGAGAACTGGAGGGAAGGTCTGCATTTCAAACTAATTGGAGAATGATTTATGACTGTTAATTAGAGGAGGGAATTTTGCTTTGATACTATATGTTATGGGGAGGAGAATTCAGATTTGGCTTCGATCATGAATGTGCTGATGCCATGCAACTTGAATAAAGTTTCTTTAAGGTAAACAATGCCTCAAAGTTCTTTGAACAGTTTCATCTGTCGGAACCATCACATAATTGCTTTGACATTTTTGTGTGGTGCTGATTGAAAAAAACATGGATTGATGGAGGTGTTTTGGGGGGTCACAGCTGAATTCTTAGCAGAATTAACTAGCTAAATCAAGTTATTATTTTAGTGAAATACAGTATCAATCCTACCTCCCCATAGAAAGACCATTTTTAGTATTTTTTTTAATTCTCAGTCATGAGCAAGAAGCAATATTATATTAAAAGTGTATGGAATAGAAGAGTTGAAATAATTCTTCAAATATAGAATTGACTTCATTTTATCTCTACAGAGTAATGGAGATTTGAAGAGAAAATGGACCTGGGCAGTAGAATGGCTTGGAGATGAGCTAGAACGTAGGCCTTACACTGGCAATCCACAGTATACATACAATAACTGGTCTCCACCAGTACAAAGTAATGAAACATCAAATGGTTATTTTCTGGAGAGATCTCACAGTGCAAGAATGACTCTTGCAAAGGCTTGTGAACTGTGCCCTGAAGAGGTGAGAAATCTAATGCTATTTTGAAATTAATTTATACACAGATAATCTATCACAAAATTCTTAATAGAATTACAGCTTATATAATAGATACATGGATTGATATTTTGATATTACACTTTAATAGGAGCTTTTAAAAAAATTATAGTTTCTTCTTGCAGTAAGTTAATGAAGTAATTTTGATTGGGTTAAATCTTGAAAAATAGCTGATGACTTGCATGTTAACTTTGGATAGAAAATATTAATAATAAAGACTACATTATACCAAGATGTTATTTTCCCCTTGGTACAATATATTGAGGAAAAAATAAAGAGAAGTCACTAAATCTTATATTTCCATTATTTTCCAAGTTCTACTCTTAACTTTAAGCATCAGTTGTTCTCTAAATTTGCAGATTTTAATTTCTTTGATTTCATCAAGATTTCAGCATATTACAAATTAAGCCATAGTGGAATTCAAAGTTTTGAACTTCTATAAATCATAATATCAAACATATTAAGCATGCAATAGAAAAAGAAAAGGCATAAGAGAGTTTGTGACATTCGCATAAACCAGTAAGTTTCAGTTATTATCAAGCCCAGTTTTTATGTGCATGATTATTTTCTTTTCACAATAAAAACCCAGTTTACCATGGAGTTGTCTTGTATCACACACTTTTATTTAAAACATAAACTGAGAGCCAAAATCAGTGCAGTGGATTTAATATTCCATTGAAGGACTAACTCAGCAACCATTAGAAGTTCTGACCTGGCCCTTTGTTACTCCAGTGCTGCATATGCATAGTCAATGTGAAAATAATCCATTTAAGCAAACATTTTACTTGTTAGCAATCAATAAATATTGAATTATACCTAGTTGTTTGAAGCTCACTAAAACAAGTAAATTTTATATTCTTGCTGGAATAGATGATAGGGCAGTGGTACGAACCTATGGCACGGGTGCCAGAGGCGGCACTCAGAGCCCTCTCTGTGGGCACGCGCGCTGTCGCATCAGTCCTAGGCCTTCAGCTGGGTTTTATAAAACCTTTTCGCTTTAGGCTTCTGTCACTGTTTGCCAAAAAAAAAAAAAAAAAAAAGTTCAATCAGTCAATTTCAACTTCTCGTGGGAAAAAAAATCTTACAAAGTTGGAATTGATTGATTGAACTTTTTAGTCCCACCCAGTCTGCCGTTACCACTGCAGCCACGCCCAGCCAATGGGCCACACCCACCCGGCACCCGACGATGCATAAGTGAGTTTTGGGTTGCAGTTTGGGCACTAGGTCTCTAAAAGGTTCGCCATCACTGTGATAGGGCAATAGTTAAACAGGTGTGACTCCAGTAGAACAGAGCCCTGCAAATATAGTGTGAAGCAGAATTTTCTATTTTCTCCTTTATTAGGAATAGTATTGTACACTACGTAACCTCACAGTGAAGAAAATGTAGATGGCAAAAACATAAAACTAGTGGAATGATGTTTCTATGGGTCTTAGATTAGTGGCAAGTGGATTGCAGATGTTAATATACCAGAATGTTAAGTACATACATAGAAAATTTCCTTTGAGAGTGATACATACACAAAAATGGAATGACTTAATTCTGTATTTGGTCATTTAAAAATTATTAAAACTATGAGTTAAAATGTCTGTACTGTGTAAGCTTAACAAATGTGTAGGAAAATAATCATTTTTAAATAAAAAAACAGATAAAAATTTTGCCAATGTCTTAATGGAGTGAATTTCATTTCTAGGAACCAGATGATCCAGATGCTCCTGATGAGCATGAATCTTCTCCACCAGAAGATGCTCCATTGTACCCCCATTCACCTGGCTCCCAATACCAACAGGTGAGCAGAGATGAATCTTAAAGAGAATTTGTTACTTCACTATATCATCCGTGAATGGCAGATCCACCTCTTTCTTTCTAATCATAGCCAGCCCAAAAAAATGACTTTGCATATAACATACTGTGCAAACATTTGTTGATGCTTGCAGGGCAATTTTACAAAGCAAATCTAAATGCTTCAAAATATCTAAAACTATACATTTTGCATGAAATTACTGCTAATAATAGTAGACAATTAGCACACCAAATGTTTTAGTCTGTAATTCTCAAATCATTGATTATGTAAACTGTAGCTTACAGAAATTGCTGGTAAACATGTGTTAGGTCCTGATTGCCAAACATAGTGCTGATGTCAGGGCCAGCTCTAGATACTTTGGTGCCCTAGGCCTGGGGTCCCCAACTCCCGGTCTGTAGACCGGCACCAGGCAGTGGCATGCCAGAAACTGGTCCGCACAAATAAGCAAAGCTCCATGCAGGCAATACATGAAACCACGCCCTCTCCAGTCCACGGAAGAACCTCTCTACACAGAACCGGTCCCTGGTGCCCAAAATGTTGGAGACCTCTGCCCTAGGCAAAGTCATAATCTGGTGCCTCCTGGTTTGGCTCATCTTCCAATTTTCTTAGGAATTTCAAAAAGGCACTTCCTTTTCTTCAAGTTTTTGAGATTTACACTTATGATTTTTAGCCCCAGACATTTTTTTCCTTTTCTCCAACATTTCATCTGATTACACTAGGAAATTATACTAAATGTTCAAGTGTGTATTCAAGCTCACATAGTATGCCTTTACTTCTTTTTGCCTTTTTACTGCGTTTTTCAATTTGGTATCTGTAGGCTTGTACCTTCTTAGCCTAGTGTTGAGCTCAGGTTAATGGTTATGCTTCAGTCAGCACTTATCTGATTCTACAGTTCATTTGCAATGCTATCTAAAATAGTTCAAGAATAATTTGTGTGGTGGATTTTGAATTTTCAGTTTTTTTTAACAGGCATGAAGAAAAGAAATTACATTAAATGCAAGCATATAAAATTAATCGCTTGAATGTTATATGCTGCTAAAATACCATGCTATCTCTGCAAAATTAAAATCATGTTATTTGATATGAATTATGTTATAATAATTGCATTATTAGTTTTATTTTTATTAACCTACTTGTTAAATTGATTAATATTGGTTATTTGCCTTCATTTTGCTTTCTTTACTGATGTCTCTAGATGTAGACCTGTTGTCACAAAATTAACCATATTTTTTTTATTCATCACCTCCCTTATCTGTAAATACATGATTTATTCTCAAGAGATTGTTTTTCTCTCTTCCAGACTTGCACATTGACTAATTTTTATTTCAATTGTAGGTTGTAATTAATCCTAGTTTATATTATGATATACAAATTCTTTAAATTAATTTAGTTAATACATATGATGTAAATTATTTTACTATGTTTGACTCAAAGACTACTGTACCTTAGGGGCAAAAAATTAATGACAGTTTTCTTTAATAGATAATGCTACTACTTTCTCACCATTTCAATCCTGAATATTCTTCTTCCTTCTTTCCCAAGCTGTTTGTTTGATAGCATCTTTCTTTTCCTTTAGATCTTGCATGTAGTTAAACAGTGAATCGACATTTTGGTTTCATTATAAATTATATTTTTGTTAACAGATAAGTTTTTCTCTAGACTGTTACAAACTAATCCACCAAGCAGCTATTTAAATAAAGAAATTCAAATAATTCTTCTTAAACTGTATTTTCCTTCTTACAGAATAACCATGTGCATGGACAGCCATATACAGGCCCTGCAGCACACCATATGAACAATCCTCAGCGAACTGGCCAACGAGCACAAGAAAATTTTGAAGGCAGTGAAGAAGTTTCACCACCTCAGACAAAAGAATAGTGAAAATGCACACAATTAACTTGCTCCATCAAGACTGTGCACCCAGGCCTTACAGTCCAACTTTTCTCTGTGTCTGGCTGATATTTAGAAAAACTATTCCTAATCAACATGGAGTGAAGAGTCTATTCACTGTCTTATCTGCAGAAAATTGCTGTCAATATATAACCTGCCTGCAGTGGAAAGTGTATAGTGTTTTGTAATAAATGGCCTGATGCTAATGTGTAAATGGCAAAGGTGTATATAGTATATTAATGTTTGACTGTTAATTCTTAAACAAGAAACTTTTTTTGTCTTGAATGAGACTCACAGATCTACAACAATTAATTTCTTGATATATCTGCTGCGCTCTACAACCAGTGTTGCCTGCCTAATGGCAGTTAGATCAACTCAACTCCTTACCCTTGCCCCACCCAAAAAGTAAGCCTCTTCATGTCAACCAGAAAAATACTTTCATATAATTCTTTGCCACTGGAGTCCATTTTACTATGAGCATCATAATGACTGGTAACCTTTTAATTCTTTGGTTGATATGGAAAACTGGTGATATACCTTGTTTCTAGATCTTTTTCCATTGCCTTTTCCATTCTGGTATTAAGTTAATCACTTGAAGCTATAGTTAAGCTGTAACATTTAGCATGGCTTCACACCAAGTTAGAATAGCCAGTGAGGAAAGAAAAATTCAGTTGTCCAAAATGACAACTGTTACTTAAACCCTTTTCTTCAGACACCTGGGTTATAAAACAGGAAGGGAGGGTTGGGCAAAGTGGCCGATGGTTTTCAGTTGCACATATGTTCCTCACATCTGATGTTTGACAGTTCTGTCTCTGGATGGGGTAAAAGAACACTTAGTTTTCAGTAATAGGAAATTAAAAGATTTAAAACAAATATGCAAATTTTGCTATGCCAGGATGCCTGGAGCATAACAGACTGTATTTGGTGTGCTTGTTTTGTTTCTTCAGTAGAGCTTATTTGATAAAACTTCTAATACTTTCCTTTATACTGCACTGCAGTGAAGTGGAAGTCAACAAAATCACACAATACTTGTGAGTGCCACTGCACCAAGTTAACTTGCTGATTTTCTGCTCATGCACAATTCTACTTGAAAGCAAGAATTGTCTTAGCTCTATATCCATTAAAAGAGAAATCTTAACCTTAGGAGCAGGGTTTGATTATTAAAGTAAATAAACTACTGGTTAGTCAAATATAAACCCGAGGTATCTCTGTTCCAGAGTAAACATTTGTTTAAAGACTTCAAGGAACTCATCAGTAAATACTGTATTTAAATTAAAAATTGGTAACTTGAATGTGTGTAATTATTTTGGAACCTGTCAAAAAACCAAATACCCCTGCAAACAGATACAGCCCACCCTATACTATTTAAATATTTGCTGTTTTATTTTATAGAAATTATTTTGCTGAATTCACAAATAGAATTTGATTTAAGAAGACCATTTTTGTCCTGTGGTATGTGTGTGTGGTTTTTTGTTTTTTGTTTTTTTTAAACAGAATGCACAGGTAGTTGAATTCTGTGCACTATACTGAATTCTGGAACAAAAGTCACAGTGAGATTTGGTGGACCGAAATTTGATCCTTGACAAAGAATAAAAAAAGAAACCTGTCATAGTTTATTAATGTGACTATCTTGTACTTTTTGTATGTTTTATATATACATATATATTTAATGAGCACAAGCTTCCTGGTATTTTTGTTAAGTTAATACAAACAATGCTGCTTATCAGACTTAGAATTTATAGTTGAAATAAGTAAATTGAGGAAATCAGAGATTTCTTTTGCATTTAGTGTAACTAGAGTCTTAACACATTTTTATTCTAGGTAAAATGTTCACATTACCCTTCCAGGTTTGCTCTCAGATACTTGTTATGTTTTAATAGCATTTTCTTGGATTGGTTACCAACATTTGACCGAAGCTTTACCCATCTATTTGGGTAAATTTAGTACTAGCTTAAACAAAATAATACTCTGATTTTGTATGAGAACCTCAAACATTCCCTTGCTCCAACACTTATTGTTAGATGTTGTTTCAAAAACTTTTTGCCTTCCAAAACAAAGCAGTTATTATTTCAGCCTGGGGGGGGGGGGAAGCAAGTGTGACACAATTGTGGAACTTATGTTCACAATGCTATATGTTTTTTACCCTCCATGGGGGAACCTGTTTTAAAATGTTCAGCTTAGGGTTGTTATTAGTAAACTTTTACAGAAAACTGAGAGTATGGCTAGTTGGAAGTCAATGGGTAGCAGAAACATGAGAATTCTTTTTTTAGACAAAATGTCAGATTTATTCCTTTTAAAATGTTCTACATAGTAATTTATGCTTCTGCCAGTTACGGCAACAGCTTCAAAACTGTAATTTTATTACCTCAGTATTGATGGCACACATTAGAACAAGTCCTCAAAGTGCCTAAATGTTTAATTTTACTTTTCCCCTTATTGAGTTCTGCTTTTTTGTTTTTAACACCTAAGGAGAAACTGCTGTCTTCCATAAAAGTTATTCACCTATTGTTAATCTTACCTTTTTTTAAAATAATTTTAAGATTCAAACAAAAATAAGTTGAATAGCTATGGAGAAAAAAATAGCAATTTTCTTACCAGAATGTATTTATAAAAATAGCTTTCATTTTTATAGGACCAATTCTGTATGTGTGTAATTCTTTTATCACTAAGCTCAGTGAATACTAAATGTTTTGTTTTAGTATTCTCACTGCTAAACTCTAACCTAATTAAGTATGCATGGCTGCCAGCTTGCTGTTTTTTTTAATGTATTTTTCACTTTGAAAGATCTTTTGAATGCCAAAAGTCACAGGAGCTTCATTCATTAAAAAGCAAAACTAGATTCTAGTCTTTAGCAGTTTAGGGAAATAACGGTAAGCATGATTGCTATGTTCTCTGAAAACCAAGCAAGAAGTAAAAAATATCCAAAATAGAATTTTAAATCTCATAATTCTTAAATTGCATAACGTAGTTTCAGTTTTCAGAATTAGTTTTAGAAATGCATGTATTGATTTTATTTGCTTTTCAAACAGAATTAACTAGAAATAAACAATTATAAAGAATGTATATAGAGAGATACCTTTCTGAATGTCTTTTGTTCATTAATGAATTAAATAGAGTAAGTATTTAGTCAGTGTAGAGTTAGGAATAAACTAGGTTTTTTTCCCTCTTTTGGCACACTTTCGTATAGAAGCATACATGATCTTGCCACTGCCCTACAGGCATTCTTAAATAAAGTTGCACTTTAAAAACAAGCTGCAAAATGTTTGTGTTAGGTTTCATGTTTCATGAAAAGCATATTCCCAAAGTGGAATAATCTGAAGAATTACCCCAATAACACTCCTGTGTGTCCCATTGGAGCTTGATTAAAATACTGTTTTGTTTTTCAGACAGTCCTAATGTTCATTGATCTCCATGTACTGTTTATAGAAAAAATGGCAACATTACCAATTGTTATATGGCTAAATGTTTGTGCTATATAAAGTAGATTGTTACGGATATTTTTAACACAAATTGTGCTAGGGTTCACATTCTTAAAAACTTTTTTACCAAAAAAAAAAAAAAACCAAGAAATTTCTGCAAGAAATAAATACTTCAGAAAAGTACAAACATTTTTCTCAATGGAGATTATGGCAAATTGAAGAAAAATATGACAGGACAGGTTCATACTTGTATGTGTACCATTTCATGATACTCATGTCAGGTGGTGATTTGTATGTTACTGAGTCATAAATGTTTTGGCTGAAACATTTGCAGTTTTGCAATGATTTCTAAGAATGAACAAAGTTGACAAAAGAGGGCTTCTGTCTCTTCTAATAGTCTATCCTGAACTCAAGAGGAGTTCTCTATCTGAATTGGAACAGTTTTCTCCTCTGTGTGATACTGTTCATCTTAAAGTTATCTTCTACCTCTAAGGAATTATTTGGGGGGGAATAGGGAGGAGGTAGCTGAAATTTACTGTTTTCCATTTTCTTTCCTAATTAGTTTATCAGATCAAGGGAATCTATCCCAATACAGTAAATAGAAGCAAGTTGCTACATGTTGATCTTATGATGTAGATTTAGCCATAAATTTGGCTATGGGTTCTATCAGCTTTCTTTGGTTGAAATCATTTAAAGAGAAGAAAAGCTTTTCCTTATGGATGAAATCTACACATTCTTTCTTATTAGTTTCTCAACTTGCTTTCTATTTTTGAAATTAATTAGGTTTATTTATATATCTTATTTGTCTAATTAAACATGGCTACAGCATTAATATTGTTCATTACATTAAGCTATTTTTGGTACTTCCTATTTCTTGAGGAATTTTACACTGAATTTCACTTTTTTTCCAAATCAAAACATTACATAAATTAAATGAAGTAAATTTGAATCACAATGGCTTCCAGGTGCCTAAAAATAAATACTTTTAGGTTACTAAAAGTTATTATATTGGTGACTTGCTCTACTACAAAACATGTACTTAGGGACAGGCCTAACTACAAATCAGGAAGTTTACCTGTTTGAATTTCATTTGCTTAGAGCTCATTAGATAGCCTTTGGCAAGTTACTCTTTCAGCATCAGACTCTCTAATTATTGTACTACAGTTGTATGCAAAAGTGTATGCATGTTTGGTCAAGTCATAGTAAAGATGAAAACATTGAATTTTCAGCAAGACAGTGATCCAAAACACCTCTGATTCAGATTTGTTTAAAATAGGTTAAAAAAATTAAATGGTCTTCAAGGTCAATCAAACGGTCTTCAAACAATTTTGAAGATTGTTTCTGATTTAGAAATGTTATGTGAGAGAGGGAGAAAGGAATCAAAAGCAAAATAAGATCCATTAACAACAAAACTGAAAGCTGCTAACTTCAGCCAAAAGAAGCGTTAATGAGCACTGATGAAGGGAATATACAGGCTGCAATATTGACTATTTTCTCATTCTGATTTTGTAAGCAATCACATAAAGAATAAATAAGCATTCAAACCTTGGAGAGATGTGTTGAACTGTTACATGTAGAGGTATCAACTTCTGTTCATTTAATGATTCATCCAGTCTACATTTTGACCAAGGGTATCTAAACTGTAAATAACTCTTAATTTCTGTCAGTGTAGTAACTCTTATCACCTGCATGCAGTTGGGTTTTCTCTGTTTTTAATTTTCTGATTTTTAATCTTTCTGTCACAAGTGCTTTTTTTGGGACTAAATTGCCTTCATGTATGTTCTACCCAATATCCCCTGGAAATACACTACCAAGGGCCAAGTCAATGTTGGGTAGCAATTTCAATTGCTATAATGAAAATGAGTTTCAGTCATGACTGACCCAAGCACAAATGTCAGATTGTGTGCCAAGCAAATTATATATGTTTATTTTCTATAGATCTTTAATTCATTTTGCTTTTTCTTGATATAATAATTCTAAAATTTATTAAATAGCTTTTGTTGTTTCCCCCTCCTGCCAGTCACAATGATACCAAAAATATTTGTTTTATTTTATATGGCTTAATTTTCTGACTTCTTTAAAAAGAAAAATAATGTATTTTTAGGATTTTAGTATATTAATTTTTGGGACAAATTGGATGAAATTTTTACCGTTTTGCTTTTCTAAAATACTATCTTTTGGTAGTTCATCCTTTTGTTCTTTTTTAAAATGCATCAGTTGCTCTTAGTATAAACATCTAAATGTTCACTAAATTCATGGTGTACCTTCAAGTTTCTTCTCTTTTTTTTAACTTGAATGCTAAAGGATTCTGATTATTCCTGCACATGTGCTTCCTGTATGCCTCTTTTTTTTTTCTATACTGGCTTTCCTCTAACAATAATGCAATGTTGGTTAATTTACCTTTTTTTCTAATTTCATGTCTGTTTTTTAATTTTAGAAAATAATGTGTCGCTTTCAGTACAGTATTATGGTTTGGTTGATTTCTTAAAATAGTAACTCGAACAATAACTGTTCTAAAGTGCTTAGCTCGGTGCTTTCTTTATTGCAAGGCTAACTTGAAAAAAATGGTAAAAGGTCATGGCTTCCGACTCTCATCTTACAAAAAGGTTAGGCAAAACTAATCATTGCAAATTAATTATAGATGTGAAAAGGAAGTAGCAGAACAAGAAATGCTTTTACTGTTGTAGAAAGAAGTTATCTTTTAGAAAAGATTAACACCAAATCCTTACATTTTAGCATCTCTTTCTACATATTGGAATGCTTTGCATACAGAAATGTGGTAACTATTGGTTTTGTCATCAAATGCCAGAAGGGCTAATAGTCCAGTGGGTGTAAACTTGGATTCTCCTGCTACAAGATTCTATGGTTACTTACAAAGGACATAGGGGAATTAAGTAAAGAGCTGGAACTAAAATCCAATGAACATGGCTATGATTTCAGTACAAATATGATAACCTTTTCTTTCTTTGGGTCTAATTATTCCAAATATATTGCAATATTTTTATTTTCAAATATTGAAACATTGTTATGTTTTCTTTTTTACCCTGGGAACCAAATGATGGAAAGCTTAATGCTTTTTCAGTAGTTCTTTTTTAAAACCTTTTTACCTGACAAATGATTTAAGCTCTGATATTTTGTTTTTGTATTTAAATACATTTTAAAAAAAAATTAGCTAGATTTTATTAGTGTCTTAATAAATATTCTGTTTACCTAACAGGCATAGGTTCTTGCAGCTATAGTAGATTGTTCAGATAATGCTGTCAATATTATTGACCAATAGTTCTAAAAAGTCTGAAACTGCTGTTTTGAGCATTGTACCTTCTAATTTGCAAGTAGCAAGTAATTTAATCCTCCAGATGTTATTCAATGGCAATTTGGGACAGGACCAGCTCAGTGAAGAATGCCAAGAGAAACATCTGGAGGGCCAGAGGGTCTGCAACGTATCTGGTGTACTACTTTGGTTCCCATGGAATGCAATTTCCCATTCCCCACCCTTCCTTCCTGCCCTTCCAGATACTGTACTTCCAGATTCCACTTGGGAGCAGGAACTTGCATTGAGAAGGGAATTGCATTATCTCAGCACTGAGAGATGCTGTTTGGTTAAGGAAGGGACTAAAACATTATTTTTCACAAGTTAGTTACAATTCTATGCTCATTCTTTTCATTAGCCCTCGTAGTGCAATGGTTAGAATATGCTGACTCTAAACTGCTTTAAGAGGGCTGCAAATTGTGAAGTGGTATATAAGACTAAGTGCTATTACTATTAGCAAACTAATACAAATACTTTGTGTAAGTCATTGGGGCTATATATTTCATTGTAAACAAAAGATAGCTTGTGTTTTAAATTTTATGTTCCCTCTGCAGTAAACTCAAGTATAACAAAAGCATATGAATTTCATTTGCACTTTTGAACAGTTTGCTGCTCTAGAATATTTTCTGCTTCATTAATTATAATTTTAAATTTCCAGTTAAAGGGCTAAAGCACTAGAGTGTATCTGCAAATATGTTATTGCAGGATACCTCTTTGCCTCACACATGCCATATACATAAGTCATAACGACATGAAATTAGTGTAACTTTATAAGCGCAAAAAGTAATTGAAATTTTGCTAGCTGGGATAATACCACTTGAATCAGTTAAGTGATACCAAATCTATAACTGAAGTATGTCCATTAATCCCCAAATGAGTCATCTTCTAAATTGATAAGGATTATAAAACTACTCTAGATGATATTTGGTCTCTTGTAATTCTATAGCAGCCCTTTTCCAACTGATCCTTTCCAGACCGTAACTACAATTCTCAATTTCCTGACAAATTGAGACCATGCTGAGTGGGAACACAGAGTTGTAGGCCAAATATAACTAGATTTGGATTGGATAAGATTGTCCTAAATTTTTTGAAGTGGACTTGTTAAGTTAAAGAACTGAATGTTAGCTCTTGTGACTCCTTAGACACCAGGGGCATGAAGAGATAAAAAATAATGAATTCTTCTTCAGAGTGAAGGCAAGTCCAAGTTCTAAAAAATTTTTACATCTGCCGAAACTGAACAATTAATGGTAAGACCAATCTTCCATTATCAAATAAAATAGGTATGTGAAATGCTTGTAATTCATTTACGTCGTTCTTAAGTTTGAATACTTACATATTAGTCCATTAATGCTATTAACTTCTAGGGGAGAAAATTGAGTGTGACTTTTAGAGAAATGCTGAGCAACAAAAAAGGGGTTAAATCAGTGATGGCGAACCTTTTAGAGACCGAGTGCCCAAACTGCAACCCAAAACCCACATATGTATCGTCGGGTGCCGGGTGGGCATGGCCCATTGGGTGGTCGTGGCTGCAGTGGTAACAGCAGACTGGGTGGGACTAAAAAGTTCAATCAATTCCAACTTTGCAAGATCTTTTTTTTTCTGCGAGAAGTTGAAATTGATTGAACCTTTTTTTTTTTTTTTGCACACGGCGGCAGAGGCCTAAAGCAAAAATGTTTTATAAAACCCAGCTGAAGGCCTAGGACTGGGGCAATGACATGTGTGCCCATAGAGAGGGCTCTGAGTGCTGCCTCTGGCACACATGCCATAGGTTCGCCACCACTGTTGTAGATTTTAGTGAGCATTCCAGCGATTTCCAAAAAGAACACACAAGTT